TGAGTTCAAGGCCAGCCTGGTCTACATAGTGAGTTCCAGGACAGCTGGGGCTACAGGGAGACCCTGTCTCCAAAAGACGACAATAAATAAATAAATAAATAAATAAAAATATTTAAAAAATTGTAAATCTTATCTAGCCTGAATAAAAGATACCTCAGCTAGATGAGCTGAATATGTCCTACAAAGCCAACGTGTGCTCCTTAATCTAGAATCCACAGACTGAAGAAAGGCCACAGCTTCTCCCCTCTCTCATGTCCCCTGATTCAGCCACAATCTGGCTATCACAGTAGGAGATCCCCAGCTCAGCTGGGGGACAGAAGAGGCAATCTCTTTATCAATTTAACTTGGTATTACTGGGTTCAGACTAATACTGTATTTCTGACATTCCGAAAGCTGGATCTCTGAGTGACTACTCTCAGATAAACACTGTTAACAATGGCTACGTTTGACACATCTGCTCCTTGGGGCCAGGGAGATGGCTCAGCTGATAAAGGTGCCTGCCACCACCAAGCCAGATGAGTCCAATCCTCAGGACCCATATGGTGGGAAAGAAGGGACTCCTGCAAGTTTTCTTCTGACCGCCATACATGTATGTTCTTTCTCTCTCTCCTCTCTCTCTCTCTCTCTCTCTCCTCTCTCTCTCTCTCATACACATACTCACAAACATGCACAAATAAATCAATGTAAAAAAGAGAAAGGTTGATACTTGTCTTCATTCGCATAGTCCAGTGTTGAAAGAGCTTCTGTTGTGTTTGAGAAAGTTACTTATCCAATATAATGATGTGTTAGGGAAAACTGTATTTGAACTTCCAAAATAAATTACTTAAAAATAAATCTTTTGGCTGGGCGTGGTGGCGCACCTTTAATCCCAGCACTCAGGAGGCAGAGGCAGGCAGATCTCTGAGTTTGAGGCCAGCTTGGTCTCAATGGTGAATCCAGGACAGCTGGGGCTACAGGGAGACCCTGTCTCAAAAAGACCAAAAAACCCAAAAACAAAGAACAAAAAACCTTTAGAATACCTTAGAATATTGTTAAGTTTTCTACATTCTGCTGTCGAATTTTTACAGCATGTTCAATGCTTTTTAGGAACTGAACAGCATTAATATTCTTGCTGATTGTTCTAAAGGCATTAAATAAATATTAATAATTAAAGCATAAGAGATTAATTCATGCTGGGTGTGGTGGCACATGCCTTTAGTCCTAGCACTTGGGAGGCAGAGTCCAGTCTGGTCTACATAGAGAATGCCAGGTCAGCTGGGGCTATGTCAAAAAGACCAAAAAAAAAAAAAAAAGAGACTATATTTTTGTTTCATGATATAAAGGATATAACGTGGACAGCAGCTGAAGTAAAAGTTCAAGGCTTTGCTATTCCCTACCTCCAGCTCTTCAGTTCTCTTTCCCCAATCTCCACATATGTGGTGAGAATCACAATATCATGAAGAGAGATTATAAAATACAACAGAAAACATTAAAAAAAATAATGGAACAATGGTACAAAAGCCCATTGGTAAACACAAAAAGTAAAAGATCTGCTTTTACAGATAACATGCCACATCAAGAAAAATCTATAAACAAAATGTATTCAAATTATTTCTGGAGTAGGAATTGATTAGGAAATTCAGAATTAACTTTTCACAGGTGGGGAGGGTAGATGGAAGCATCACTTTGAAACTAGTGTTAAGGAGTCTGAAACTCTCTAAGCTACAGCTTTTATAAACTACAAAGATTTAATAGCTATAATAAATTAGCAAACCAAAATCCAAGAGAACACAGGGGTTGGGGATGTAGGTTAGAGCACGCCTAGCATGTAGAAGGCCCTGGGTTCAGTCTCCAGCACCACACACAAACACAACCCCCCCCCACACACACCATACACACACAAGAGGAAAAAGAACAGGAAGATAAGCAGTGAGAGAATGGGGGGAACACGACAATCCTCTAAACCTATCACTCATGGAAAAGCCAAGTCTCCAGCTGGATTCCTTCTGAAACATATTTTTCATGAGCCTATTACAATAAATGTATACAGCCCACAAAGAACTATAAGCAAAGCACTGTCTGTGGTCTTAACGCTAAAATACTTTCAAGTGTTGCCTTTGGTTGAAGTCTACTATTAATCACAGTTGATCTCTAAGCTCCTTAAATCAATAAACATTACTCTTCTGTTTACAGCAGACAAAAACATGGATTACATAAGCAAAATCCACCCACTGAAACATAATCAGAAGTTCAGAGATGTTTAATGTCTACCTAATGACTCCTGGAAAAATCTATTCTTCAAAAGTGATTTTGCTTAAGTATCTTGTTTTCCTCTCCTTGTTTCTTCAACACTTGAAAGCTTAATCCTTGTTTCCTGGTTGTTCACGGCATCCAACAACTAGTTCTTCTTTATTTAGATTATAATAGTCTTTTAATAAGCAACAGAGGAACAGTGTAAACAGAAGATGATGTAAAATAAGTGAACAGGTAACAATTACAAATGAACTAAATTATCTCTTACTTAACAAGCCCAGTTGGTATGAAATAATTTAAACATTTATGTTATATTTTATTTATTTTATTATAGTGTGTGTATGGGCACAGAGATGTGTGGAAGTCAGAGAACAACTTGCAGAAGTCAGTTCTCTCCTTCTACTATGTAGGTTCTAGGGATCAAACGCAGGGTGTCAGGCTGGGTGTCAGGTGCCTTTCCAGCCCAGCATGTAATATTTTAAAAGTTTTCTATGTATATCACTAAGTTTTAATGCATGAATCAGAAATCATAAACACCTGGTGAAAATGATTAATTTTTGGATTTTATGAAGAAACAATGATATAAATACCACGGTTTTTACTGAAGTTAGTATTTGTCACAATATGTGGAAAAACCACTGAAAGGCAAGAGCAAAATGTTAGTATAATGAATGAGGGATTATTATTCTTTTCCTTTTTTCCTCTTTTTGAGACAAGGTCTCCCTGAAGTTCCAGCTGACCTGAACTTACTATGTAGACTAGACCAGGCCTTGAACTCACAACGATCCGCCTGCCTCTGCCTCCAGAGTGCTGGGATTAAAGGCGTGTGCCACCAAGCCGGCTGAGGGATTATTTTTTTTTTCTTATTAATTTTTCTGTTATTTCTGAGTCCTCTATTAACAGGATGCAAACTTCTAAAACAGATAAACACTAATCTGAAATAGTTAGATAATAAAACCAACATATTGTAAGAAAAGCAAGTTCTCTATCTTTTCAGTGATTACAGTATTTTTTGATTCATCTACTTCTATTTTATGTTATTCAGTGTTTTGCCTGTACCACAGAAGTGCACCATGTGTATGCAATGCCAGCAAGAGGTCAGCAGAGGGAGTTGGATCCTCTGGAACTGGAATTTCAGAAGTTTGTTAGCTACAATGTGAATGCTAGGACTCAAACCAGATTCTGTGAATGGGCAGCCAGTGCCCTTAACCGCTGAACCATCTCTCTAGCTCTGTCTTTTCAGTATTTTTTAATTGATGAAGTAACTCTGAATTTATAGATTTGTTTTTGGAAAAAAAAAAAAAAACAAGAAAGAAAAGAAAAAGAAAAAGAAAGGAAAGAAAGAAAGGAAAAGGGTGAGGAGAGTGGACGGGGAGGAGAGGAAAGAGAGATTAAGTTTACCTGTTCCCTTTCGGGACAGTTCCATGATGCCCCATGGGGGTTTTGAGGTGAGTATGCCATCACTGCCTAATGGATGTTGGGGCATTAAGGCAGATCTGGAGCTGGCTGGTCGGTATTTAGAAAGCCCTAAAACATCAAACAAAAGAGAAAAGATGAACATAATTTATTTCCTAAAAGCAGCAGAATAGAGCATGAGAAGTTTTTACAAGCCAGCTGTCAAATCACAAGATCAACCATAGCGAAACTCTAGTGATAACACAGAACTGTGGAAATGGGCAACAAGCTCCAATCTTAGTTGAAGAATTATTGGCAGGTGATAACTGCTGGGTGAGGAAGAGTCCCTCTTCTTAAGGAGAGGGACTCTAGATCTGTCCATAACTCCATTTCCAGGGGATCGGACAGTCTCTTCTGTCCTCCACAGGCACTGTATAACACGGGTGCACTTACCTACATGCAGGCAATTATATGCATACACATAAAATAAAAAATATTTTTTTTTTAAAAAAGGGTATTTTACTATGAAGTCTACTACTACACAAGTAAACATAAATTATAATTATCAGGAATCTGATGAATGGATTACAAAAACAAATCCAAAAAAGTAGGCCAAATATTTAAAATGAACCAATAAAAATAGCAAATTAAAAGTACTTTAAAATTTTTTATTATTACTATTTGCGTGTGTGTGTGTGTCTGTGCACAAGCAACTGCATGCCAAAGTATACATACAGAGAACAGAGAATAACTATGACATCAGTTCTCTCCTTTTGCCCTTACATGGGTTCTGGAGATAGAACACAGGTTACCAGGCTCGCATAGCAAAGCTTTAACCTGTTAAACCATCTTGCCAGCATCTTTTACAATTTCTTATTTTGCCAATATGTTATACTCTAATATATCCAAGAATTTTTATAATGGCTTCTAAACTTTAGAGTTTCTCATTTGAAAATTAAGTAACAGATCTTAGGATGGTGATAGTACGTGAACTTGCTCCATCTCCCCAGTGACTGTAGCATACTGTTCTTACCTGGAGTGGATGGCCTTTCAAGCATATTCAGATGATGGGAAATGAAGGCCTGACTATCATGAACTGTATCCATATCAATCTCCTCTTCATCTTGAGAATTTGAAAACTGAGCCACACACACAAAACAGAAGAATTAAGGGTCATGACACCATTTCATAGTCAAACATTAGTAATCTCTTTTCCTCAAAACGCATTAAAAAAGAAAAAAGATGAGGTGGTTCAGCTTCCAAAAGGTGCTGATCAGAAATTATAAATAACAACTAAAACCTGCTGCTCCTATAATGTGAGAAGAAATGATTAAGTATGCAGACACAGTTCCTTTCCAAATGGAGATGAAATATGTAGTAGGTTAAATAACCAGTTGGGATGTTTTAGGAGACTAGGATTATTTTATGATTCAATTTTTCCTATGTGTTCTCACTAAGGAAAAACTATTACAAGTATTCAAAAGGTTTCTCAGAGAACCCTATACTGTTATACAGGCTTACCCTGCATTTCTTACTGACTGACTTTACTGCTATCCTTGTTCTTCTTCAGTGTTTGACCAGGTACTAGCGGGGACCCCAGTGGAGTTTCAGCCCCTCTTCACTCCTTGCTGAGAGGCTAATATATTACATATGCTTCCTTGGCAAAGTAATCAAGTTCCTATGGCAATATTTAAGATGAAAATTAGATTTCTGGAAACAAGTAGCTCATAATATAGCTAAAAACAAAAGAGCTCTAACAACCATGCAGATTAGAACATGCCCAGTGCTCAAATTCATCAGCAACAGATGTAAAAACTTTTAGCCATTTCCTGTCGTTTTGGGAGGGGGGAAAACAGAAGTACTTAAACCAACTTTTAAAGATCTCTTGCAAAGTCAGATGTGCCAGGTGTGATGGCACATGCCTTTAATCCCAGCACTTGGGAGGAAGAGATAGGCTAATCACTGTGCAATCAAGGCCATCCTAGTCTACATAGAGAGTTCCAGGCCAGCTGAGCCCACAGACTGTCTCAAAAAGACCAAAAAAAAAAAAAATTTTTTTTTTTGCAAAAGGATCTTTTCTCTTTCTTGGAGAAGATAGGATCTCACTATGTAGCCCTGGCTGGCCTACAACTTATTATATAGACCAGGTTGGCTTTGAACTCACAGAGAACTGCTTGCTTCTGCCTCCCGAGTGCTAGAATTAAAAGCATGAGCCTTTAAGTTTGGTTTAAGACCTATCTTTCGATGTGACTTTCTTCTCTTACCCTAAAGCATGAACGTGGATAAATTAACACGTGGGCAAGAACTAAAAATGCATGGATTTTCACAGGTTTATAAATATTTAGATTTGAAAGAGCTGTTTATAAGGAGATTTCTTTTTCTCTGTGTAGGGATTTAGCTTAGTTCTTCCTAACCCACACTTTAGATAAATTTCCAACAAAAAAGTGTGATTATATTTCAGATAATTTTAGAAAAATCAGCAAACATTAAATGTTAAAATAACTTATCATATAAGAAATCAGAGTTTTAAAGTATCAAAACACCAGTAGGGAATTTCCAGGTAAATCATCTGTCTAAATACTGCTGAAAAACAAAGACTGAGTATGGCCAACATCGTGTCATCACTAAGAAAATCATTTCTGGAAAACTTCTTCAGAGTAAAATGACCAATAAAGGCTCTACAAGTCTTTTACTACAAGGATGGCAATTTATATTGCAGAGCTAGAAAGGTTTTTCTAAAGGCAAATAAACACAAACACAATTATAAAATGTAATGCATTGTCTTTTTCCAGATCATCCTATTATTCATTCACCTGATCACACATTCCAATATTTATTCTCAATCAATAAGCATTTGCCAGGCACTCACCATATGTTTAGAACTGTGCTAGGTCCTGCATAAAGCCATGACTTAAAGATAGGGCCTCTATTCAAACATACCATTAATAGCACTGCCATTGACACATACAGACATGACAAATTAAAATGTATTATGTATTCAGTTTTAGTTTCTACTACTCAGGGGAGCTCTACGGTCCAATAAAAAAGTTACACCATCACAAACGAAGTGGCAGATTGGGAGTACATCATTTGCAAGGTTTAGTTATGTGACTGACAGTGGCATTTTGTGAATTTTAAAATGCTAAACAAATATGAGTCAGAGGCTTTAAAACAGCACAGTAAACTCTGGTTATAAAATTGATTAGTTCATAGGAAGGCATTTTTTCAGAATGGACTACGTAATAAAAGCACCTCTGCACTACATGTGGTTCTTACAGGGTTCTGAAATCCAACTAGCTGTGCATGGCTGCTGGCGTTACTTGCAGTTTCTTGGTTGCTTGCTATGGCTTCTGGAATTATGGTAGGATTCAAGACAGCTTTTTTCTCCTTTAGATTAAGAACCAATCCAAGCTCTGGCAAGGGTAAACAGGAAGGTCTACTGAGGCCAAAAAGAGTGAAGTACAAGTCCACAGCACCACACCGTAACCTCCAATCGTGTGCAGTACCTAAGAAGCACACAACAAAGAAAACTTCATTTTCATACTTTACTCTCACACAATCAATTTCAGACAGTAAGTAAAAAATCTAGTCTGTGTGTGTGTGTGTGTGTGTGTGTGTGCATTTATGTGTGTATGTTTACGAGTACAGGTGCTACAATGTGAGGACAGAAGTCAGAGGACAATATACAGGAGTCAGTTTTTCCTAACGTGGATCACAGGGAATTCAGGTCATCGAGCTTGTCAGCAAGTGTTTCTATCAGCTGAGCTGCCACTGAGCCATCTTGCCAGCCCGAGTAAGAATCTGATATTTTAAAGAAGAGGGCTGTTCTGGTCCTAAGTCTTCCTTTCTACTCCTCTTCAGTAATTATTCTGTATACATCAGTATTTGCCCATTTGTTAGGAAAACAGTATTCAATTACCAAAACATAACATCCTATCTCTAGATTTAGTGATTTGAGGCCTATGAGATACCTAAGCCTGACGACCTGAGTTCAACCCCCAGGACCCACACAGCAGAAAGAGAGAACTGATTTCCACAAGTTGTCCTCTCACCTCCAAATGCACACCCTGGTGCATGAACTACACTCACAGACACACACACACACACAGAAAATAAATAAATGTAAATTTAAAAGATTTTAATATGGTAAGAAAATGTACAACTTCTAATATCAGACTCACTCTAGTCAGAGATTAAAATTTGAGGCAATCCTCACTAATCCATCTGCCCAGTCAAATGTCCAATGTTCTCCCACATTTTCATGCCAGTCCCACCGTTCCTACTCCTTCACTCACTTCTAAACTTGAAAACTCACCAATAATTGGATGATGACTATGGCCTCACTAATCTCGCTATTTAGGGTAAATTAAGAAGAACTCCTAATTAAAGTAGCAACTTTTCTTTATATTATATACTATTATATACTAGATATCAGTTGTAATCTGAATTTGAACCTATTAGAAGGTTGGTATAACTGCAACCTTCCAATAAGATCAAGTGTTTTACAGAAATTATCTCATCAATCTTAAGGACACATTCGTTTTGTCCAAAAAAATCTTCCCTAAGAGGTGGTAAGAGAATTCTTTATAAAACATTATGCCTTCCTCAAATTTGTGAACTATCATGGTCCATCATGCATCCTTATTAATATATTTGACACACTACATTTGTGCTGAATATTAAATTCTTTACAATTTTCTGAAGTATGTGTTTATCCCCTGGACTAGATAAAAGAGATCATAATATCTTCAAGGTAACAAAATATAAAAAAATATTAAACATTATGTAAACAGCAACAAACATTCTTCTGTGAATAGGGTAAAGAAAACCAAAGATGATGCAATGTTTATTATGCCAGCATCATAATCATCTGGACAAATAGACTGACTCTTAAGTTCATAAGGGCGGGCATTAGTTCACTTAGCTATCTATTAGAACTGTTTCTCCCAGAACTGTGCCAATGGATCTCTTGTCCCCTCAACCCATGTAGATGGAGCTGTCTGGGTCCTCACCCTGTGCTGATGGAACTGTCTCTGGACTTTGCCTCTGGAACCATGTTTCTCCCAATGTGGTGCCCTGTGTCCATCAGTGAGCAGCCCCGCCCCCCAAATGCTGAGTCATCTCTCTAGCCCCCTAGTCCTTAACATTTCACTATTAGTAAACAAAATAATAAAATGTAAATATCGGTATTTGCTATTTGTGATGCATTGAGTCATTAACTGGATAGCAAGGTAATCTATTTTCCCATATTCTAGACAGGAAATAAAGATGCATTCTCAAAAACTATAATTGGGAAAACAATTATAAGCAATAGAATAACCGTTACGCACTGATCTCCCTCTACTTGCAACAATTGTTCATCTTTAAGCAAAAAGAATTTTGACCTAGTTTTCAACTGAATCTTTAACCCAAAACCAGTATTACAATTTCAACCTATTGAGAGATATAATAAAAACTACCTTTAAATACATATGACATTTATAAATCCATGGGAGAAAACTTAAAAACCCAATTAAATAAAAACTACCTACAAAAAAGTAATTACAGGGGCTGCTGAGGATGTGGCTAAGTACTCAAGATCCCAAAAGAAAGAACTAATTATACACACGGCCCAATTTGAGAAGCATAGTAAAAGAGTATTTACGTGAGGCAGACACAGGGCGCATGAACACCCACTTGTTTATTTCTCAGTTTGTAGAACTAGAGATCATCACCATCTTCATTCTGTAGATGAGTTATACAGTGAATAAATAACTGAGCTAAGATTTAACCCTTAGCAAACTGGTTCCAGCGCTGGTGTTTCTAAGCACTGTGTCTTTCTACTTCTTGATCACACTAAAAAGGATGGACATTGAAACTATGTTAAGAATCTACGCTTCCTAAGATAGAAAACAGTGCATAGTTTTTAAAAACGCAGGTCATCTGTTATTGCATATGCATTCACTGTCCTGGAAAGATATACAAAAAAATCAGTTATCTCTGGACAAGGTGACCAGGTGGCTACAGAAAAGAGGTGGAAGGACCATGAAGGCTCGTGTTTATAGTCCTTTAACATTTAAAACACTTCCATAAAAATGAACACCTTCATTTCCTCAACCACCCACAGAACAAAGTGAGCACATCCTTAGTAGATGTTATCAGAACCTTACTGTGAAAATGTAGTATTCTACTTTTAAAAAGAGAGATGAATCAATCCACAAAGTGCTTGCCATGCAAGCATGGGAACAAAGTCTGGTCTCCAGCTCCCACCTAAAAGCCAGGCACGCACCTGTAATCCAGCCCTGGGGAGTGAAGGACAAAGAAGGCCCAGGTTTCCTGCTTAGCCAGTCTAACAAAATCAGTAAGGTCCAGGCTTAATGAGAGACCCCAAAAACAAGGTGGAGAGCAACTGAGAAAGATGCCTGATACAGACCTCTGGCCTATAGACACACACACACACACACACACACAGACTCATACGCATGCGTGCGTACAAATACACCCTCAGAATCTTGCTATAAAAAAGTACACAAGTGTATATATATGTATAAAGTATGTATCTATCAACAGTCACTGCTCTCTCACCAGAATTCATCAGCTTCCAGAGCTGATCAACCAGAGCTTCGTTGCATAAAGGAGACTCCATGTTCTTTGTGAATGGCGGGTTCTTCGTCAACATGTTTAGAATCTTATGCCTGAAAGCATAAAAAATAAATGAAAGAACTTTTTGACTGGTGATACGAACAGGAAACACCTGTTTTTGTGTTTAGCTTCCTAAAGACTATGTCTAATCCTAATTTTTTACTATTTGTTTTCTCACTAAAAATTACTTAAGGATTTGCTTTCTAAAATGACCTTATTGTGTAACAAGAAGGTCTTCTAAAACCTGTAGAATCCTAATCATCTCATTCTTCTTAGAACATACAAAAATAAAAGCTGGTTACGTGACCAGCTTTATAAAAAATTTTAAGTGGGTCAATGGGACAAAATAATTCAAACACAGGACAGTAAGTCTATATTTGAGATAAGAAAATGTATATAAACTGCCTTATCATGGTAACTCTGAAAAGCATAGAAATGTGCAGAAGGATTTTAAAGTTGGAGCACACACAAGATGGGGTGAGTAGATCCAGGTGGTACATACAATTCCAGTGCTTTGTAGGTGGAGGCAGGAAAATAGTTGTGAGTTCCAGGCCAGGCTGGGTTAATTTATAGCGAGACACTGTCATGAACAAATGAACACACCCTGAATATGGGAAGAAGCAATTAGGAAAAGCACTCTTAGGAATAACTACGGAACCCTTGGCTAGGAGTGAGGTTAATTGTTTTTCACCGAAATAAGGCACTATAAAGAAAACAAAATTTGAGGGCTGGGAGAATCAGTGCCTTTCTTGAGATATGCTTCAGGTCTCTTCCAGATATCTGAAATATAGACTTAAAACACTTTGATATTTACTCTCTGATAAACTAAGCCTAGGATACTTAAATATTTTTAATATTTATTTATATTTGCTTGTTTTAAAAAAAAAAAAACACCTTCCTTCTACCAAGTAAACGTTATCATTTTAATTTAGGTATATGTATGTGGGTATATGCATGTTAGGTGCAGGTGCCTGAAGAGGCAGAGAAGAGCATCAGATCCCCTGGAGCTGGAGTTACAAATGGCTGTGAACTGCCTGACACAGGTCCTGGGAACCAAACTCCAGTCCTCTGCAAAAGCAGCAAGCACTCTTAACCAATAAGCCATGTCTTCAGCCCTAGCATATAAAAGTTAAAGAAAAAAAACAAGTAAATGGGGATGGTGAGATGGCTTACTGGGTTGTCCTTCAACCTCCACATGCACATGCACACAAATAAATGCAATAAAAAGTTAGAAAACAAATAGGCTGTCCTAAAACATTATTACCAATTACTGTCAAAAAATGGTAAAATCAATCAATACACAATTTTTATAAGTTGGAACACAAAAGGGCAACACCCATATCCACTACAAACTATTTTAAAACTTTAAGTTAAAACAAGATAGTTATAATAACAATGCATTTTGAATGTATTTTGAATCAAGGAAGAAAAAGGCATTAATAAATGCATAACCTATCCCCACAGTTTTAAAAAATCGTAAATAACCTTTGACTATAAAATCTGAAATTCAGTTCAGGGCTTAAAAAGTCAAAATATTATTAATTCATAAACTAACCTTACATAGGGCACAGGATCAGTCTGAATCATATTAAGTAGCCACTGAAGGTCTTCATAACTCCTATCAACTGAAAATAGGCAAACATATTTATGGTTGATTACAACAAATCAAATAACAAGTGATAAGCAGGAACATTAAATAAGTAGGAGTATGTCTGTCCTAGTTTGTTCTTCATTGCTGTGACAAAACACTCTGACCAGTACCAACTTGGGGAGGAAAGGGTTTATTTGTCTTACATCTCCCAGGTCGCAGTTCATCAGGGAGCTCAAGGTAGGAACTCAGGGCAGGAACCTGGATGCAGGAGCTAGAGCAAAGGCCACGGAGGAACGCTGCTTACAGGCTGGCTCCCTTGGCCCCTGCTCAGCCTGCTTTTTTATGCAACACAGGCCCACCTGCCCAGGGGTGGCACCACCCACAGTGGGCTGGGCCCTCCCACATCACTCATCAAGAAGGTGCCCTTCAGACATGGCCACAGGCCAGTCCAATAGAGGCAATTCCCCGACTGAGGCTCCCTCAACCCAGGTGTGTCAAGTTGACACTAAAGCTATCCAGCACAGTGTCCAATCTGACTACCAGGCAGTTGAGTTACTTTAAAAACCCTGCAAGCACTGGACCATTTATAACTTCTATAAGCATCATGCCACAAGTAACCAAGATGTAGAATAGCATTTTTTACTAAAATTCAAACGAGCAGCAATACAACATAAAGCCAGTTATAATTAATTTAAAATCTTAAATTAGACACAATTTATTGTACAAATTCTTACCAAAATTTTAGATGCCTGAATTAAAGACAGGGTTGACATATAACAGTATCTTAACTATATTGTGCAACATGGCCAACTGTTTTGTACACATTGTTTTTCCCACTTAAGACCAAGTCAGTCTTAAGGGCAATTACAAAAAAGTACTGTGACAATAACTGACACAAATGACTCACTAGCTATTGCAATTCATCTTTTCAACACATTTTTATAAACTGAAAAACCTTTTTTACAAAATTTTATGCATGACAGTTTTCATTTCTTTGCACTCTTCATATTCTTATAATATGAACACCAATATTTATGGTTACAGGACAACAAAACAGAGGTCTAAACCTATGGTTTAGATTGAAACACCATTCAATTTTTTAAACAATACTTACTAGTTTTGCATTCCTTTTTTTAACTAAAGCTTCATTTATTACTTTTATTTTTATTTTATGTGTAAGAGTACTGCCTGCATGTGTGTAAGAATACTCATGTTGGGCAATGCCTGTGGAGGTCAGAAGGAGGTGTAAGATTCCCTTGGAACTGAAGTTACAGATGGTTGTTACCCATCATGTAGGGGCTGGGAACTGAACCCAGGTCCTCTGCAGGAGCAGTCAGTGCTCTTAACCACTGAGCCATCTCTCCAGCCCTAGTTTGGCATGGTTCTGGGAACCACATTTAGCATTGTACTTCATTTCAGGTAGTACTAACTCATGAAGTCTCAATATTTATGAGAACTCACAGTATCATTCATGTATCTCAAGAAAGGAGGGAACACTAACAAATTACATGAATCTAAAGACCTCTACATTTCATATGTGGATTTCAAGACTTCGAGATTTTAAACTAGGCAAACAACAAAACAGGTAAGGAAACAGAAACAGGATTATATACATATATATATATTTCCCTTGCAAAAGAATGTTTAAAAACAAATCACTATATTGTCATGTCTTAAATGATAAAAATCATAGTCCTTTCTGAATCAAAGTCAACATACATTATACATGGTGTTACTACTCTATGTTCTGACTCTAAGTAGTCTCATTGTAATTTATAAAAATTATAAAGATTTGGGGCTAGAGAGATGGTTCAGTAGTTGAGCACTGGCTGCTGTCACAGAGGACCAGGATTCAGTTCCCAGCACCCACATAATGGTTAACAACCATCAGAAACTACACCCTCTTCTGGTCTCTACAGCACTGCAAGTATGTGGTGTACCTACATACATGCAGGCAAAACACTCATACATATAAAATAAAAATAAATTTTTTAAAATTTACAAAGATTTGGAAGAATATTGTGAAAATGATCATCCTACCACAAGCAATATATAGATTCAATGCAATCCCAACCAAAATCCCCATGACATACTTCACAGAATTAGAAAAAAAAATCCTTAAATTCGTATAGAACCACAAAAGACCCTGGATAGCCAAAGCAACCTGAGCACAAAGAGCAACACTGGGGGGACTACTATACCAGATCTCCAAGTATACTACAGAGCTACAGTCATAAAAACAGCATGGTACTGGAACAAAAATAGACACATAGATCAATGGAACATCACTGAAGAACCAAACTTGAGTACACGCAATTTCAGCCACCTGATATTTGACAAAGGTGCCAAGAACACACAAT